TGTTGTGAATGTGAAGTTGTCTGGTGTCTGGAGAGCTTACACAAACTTGTCTGGTGTATGCGAACGAATTAAAAAGCAAGTGCGCATTATCCCATTTCCCATTCCAGTCTTTCCCGCATTAGCACCAATCCGTAGGCTCCCAAATTGTCTATTACACATAATATAGTGCACATGAATGGGTTTGCTCTGCTTCAATTATTCACGAGTTTCTCCAGACAACAAGCTCTCCTATAAAGTCAACATACTAAAGATAGCAGCCTCATTATCCACATTACACTGTGCGGTGATAGGGCACACATATTGTATCTGCTGGAACCACCTATTTTGACAGAATTTGATCACCGGAAATGTTATACGATATTAAAATGGAATATCCCACTCTCAAACTTTTTTTTGTTTGACTTTCATATATATATAAATTATACTCTTACTCTGTAAGCGTTGGTTTGTAATACCTTATGCAAGTCTTGTAAGGTTTCTTTTCTACTTTTTCAACACATTTGCAATAATGTTATACCGGTCAATCTCCAGATTTCTTTTCTTTGACCACATATTTCATCATAATGACTTTTTTTTTGTAAGGATTGGCGTTTTCATCATTGGCTTATCTCAGGCCTACATCTTAACCTGGCACAAAACTCTGTCTTCAATCACGTTTTCAATCTCTCATTGATTGTTGAAGAAGAATGTTTTGTTCTGGAAACTGCTTTACAAAAAGTCAGACAAAACTAACACATTTTGCATCCTCAGTGTATGGATATATGGATAGGTTTCATACTGGAGGGAAGTATTTAGACAGTTGTTTTAGCCTGTCTGTGTATACCTTTGACTCTCATTCATAATTCAAGATAGATTCAATTTATTTGCCATTTGCAGTAAAACCACATTGGAAAAATTGTGCAAGACTACCCCAGTGTGCAGCAGACACACCGGAGCTCTTGCCATGGCGCAATTTTTCCAGTGTCATACATAGTGATAGTACTTTGGAGAGGGTAAAACCAAGTAAGTCAATCCTGATGCCCGAGGAGATAAGACTAGCACCGTCAGTTTCCTCTTTCCTCTTTTTAAATCACTCATTAAAACCCACTTCTATCAAACGGCCTTTATTTTAACTGTCTGCTCACATGTTGCAGCTTATTTTCTACATTGTCTTTGTTGGTCCTTCTTGTTGTGTGCCCTCTGTCTACTTTATTTTCCTATGTTTCTTGTTTCATATTTTACATTAATATTACTGATTTTATTGAGTGCTGTTTTGTTTTCATGCTGACTGTGCGGCACTTTTTAAACATGTGTTAAAAACTATACAAACAAAGATTTATTATTCTTAAGTAATGGAATTGTTGGAATTAAATGGGAAAATGATATCCACTGGACGATCCACTATGCCATTTCAAAGGGGGAAAAAAAAAAACATTATCAAAGGTTTTCAACTGTCTTGTTCATTATGATGTGAACAAAAAATCCCATTAATCTATTAAGATTTTTTATTTCCTTATCAACAGATCAAAGACATTCAAATTCAGTGTTCTTTCTTACTTTTCCCATTTCCTGACTCCCCACTTTTTTCCACTTCTTACTTTTCTTTTGGTTTTATCCACATTACTGCCCCATTTCCGAGCTTAAGCTCTTTATTTCGTGCATGGCAAGGAATACGGATGTATACTTTATCGCCTGGTAATTCTCTGCAAAGACAACACAAATGAGAAGTTCATTCTCTTCAGTGCTCTTAAGTGCATACAGATGGATTGTGGACGGGATGCAAATGAAAATGGAAAATGGAGTGAATTTATAAACTTTTGCTGCTATAACTTTAACTTATAACCATTTTCCTATATTCATGTTTAAAAGAGAAACATGTCACTCACTTCTAGTATTGAAAGCTATTTTGTGGCTTTATTGAGGGACCCACAGTGCACAGTATTTGCTTCTTGATTTTTGATTCACGGGAGCAAGAGGAAGTCATTTTACTTAAAAAAAAAGAAAAAAGAAAAGTAAGTTAGTCCAAATCAGCCTGCTCGACGCTGCGCTCCCTACAAGGCTGGAAATGGCAAGTCTAAGGGTGGGCCTCGCTGAAAACTATTGAACGCAGGGCAAAAGTGACATAATTGGAGGCAATGACGCTCGCAGGTTGCTCCTGCTTTGCATCCTTTTTTGCAGAATTACGCAGCGAGGTGAGGATAAAGTCAAGCGGGAGAATGCAGTGTCCCGCTGCCCGCACTTTTCCTGTCAAATCACTAACAAGCACAAATGATTTTATAATGAAAGGCCCCATCGTTCTCACAAACACGGACGTTCACGCTCCCACACACACACACACTGCTCCTACACAACATGTCTATAATGAGTTTTATCAAGGGAAGTACATTTAGTTGAATAGAATGCCATTACTACTTACAGAAAAAATATTCAGGCTCTATCAGGTTTTCCACGACACCATGGACCCAATTTAAGGAAAGCAGCAAAAACTTTTATGAATGTTCTTGTCGATTACCTTTGTCCTCTGATGTGGTGATGGCTTTTGTGTGAATACAGAGCTATGGCGCAGAAGAAGCCGCTCAAGGTCTATTGTAAATGTTAGATTTTTCTAAGGCTTTACAGTGTATCCCACAACTTCATGTTTGTTGTGTGGTGACGCACGACTTGAACTTCTTCGTTTTCTATTTGATAAAGCTGAATTCACGGTAAAAAGGGTCACATGGAGATCACTTATGAGCTCTGGATCTAAACAAATATATAAGAGTGGTTAATGTTAGGGATAGTTCCAGGTTTTGGATTGGCTTGTATTCTTGTGTTATATCTTTTTTTGGAGATAATAACCATATTAGAACAATGTTGCTAATGAAAAACAGACCTCGGCCCTTTTTTTTTAGATTCATCCGGACTAATAGGAAGAACTTCTGGCGCTATCATGTACAGTAACTCCGCCCTTCTCTCTGAAATCTCTGTTCACTGTACTTTATAATGTTATTGTCCTCCTTTTAAGACAAAAGTAGTGCCCCCAAATTATGAGAAATATAAACTGAATTCAAAAGTCTGGTAGCATGGGGAGTTAACAGGTGGAAAGCATTTTTTTTATGCTTCAAATATGTTTCACCATATTTGTTCTACTCAGATGTTATTTCACATTCTAAAACATGCAATGACAAAGTAGTTTCTTAATAATCAGTTTTAACACTAAGACTTGCGGAATTCGGAAACTAGAACTCCCATAACCGTCATTATAACTGCTCCCATTCAAATCATTCGTATTCTGAAAATTCCCTAAAAAGTTTGTTTTTTCTCAGTTTTATTGGAATTTCCCTTTGCTCCTGTTTTAATTGGTGCTAAAACTGGTTAATGTAACATTAAATACAGAAAAAACAGTTTATTGAAAGGCTAAATGCTAACAGGTTGCAAGTGAACAGTAGGATGCTATGCTAACTAGCATTTGTGAGGGGGAGAAACAAGTGAGTTTGGGAGTTAAAGGGAGAACACCTCACATCTCAAAATGAACAGATGACTTAAAAAAAACTGCTGAAAGATACAGAAAAAGTCACCAAGTTATGAAAACCAAAAGCCGTCAAATTGTCCACACTGTGAGTTCTAGCGCTAATGGCCAAAAAAACATTGCATAATATTTCTTCTTTCATTTTCTTGTGGGGAACTCTTTACATATCATCCCGCTCTCTCGAACACTTGCAGACACTTCTTCCCAACTTCCATAATGATGATTTCTCAGTTTATTTTTGCGACATACATCAAAAGCGCCCTGTGCAGAGAGTCACAGATGTGCCCGGCCCCGCAGCAGCTGCCCGGGGCTCCAAAGGCACATTAACACGCATCATAAGTGTGCCAATGACAGCCTCAATGTGTGCCCAAAGAGAGAGGGATTGATCTGATTATAATGCAGCACATATTTTCTTTCACATCTGTCATAATATCATATAACAAACATGCGATTGGTTTTCTATTTGTGGGATAACTCAGATAGATTTTCATGTCTGATCCAGGGCACTGTGCCAATCCATCATTCCTTGATTGCTGTAGCCTTTTTTTATGCTCCCGCTGATGGTGATAAGCAGTGATTGGGTTTTGCATGTGTAATAAGTGGTTATGGAATTTTAATTTAACAGAATAGAGCAGGCTTACCATATATAGTGCATGTACACAATGGAACAAGCTTTGTTGAATTTACATCTTCATCATTTAAGGAATTTGAATGGAAAACCAAATCAAGGCTATAGGTTCAATCCATCCATCCATCCATCCACCTGCTATCCCTTAGTCCATTTCCGGGTTGGGGGGGTGGCCAGAGATGCTACCCCCCCACCAGACCCTCACTGATCCTCCTGCAGATGATACTGTAAGTCCACAGGAGGACAGCTGCTCTATGGCATAGCCTTGGTCTTTCAGCAGGGGCGTCAGGCATACTAGGATTAAGTGTCTTGCCCAAGGACACAAAAACAGCAGACATCAGTGGGAGTTGATGGAGAAGGTCTTGTGGTGGGCTCGAACACACAACCTTCAGGTTTAAAGGCCAGTGCTCTACCAACTGAACTACTGTAAGGCTTTAGCTTTTTTGTTTTTTTCACATTTTTATTGAGCCTAAAAGTATATATACAGTAGATGTACAATACAATACACACACTTAACCTGTTGATTTTGTTACTACTACTATAAAGTAAAAACTCTGAAAGGCAGTAAACACACACATTCTTACACATACTGTACTTCTGACACAAAGACACAAAAAGAAAAAAGATAAAGACAAATATCTTTTGAAATGGATGTGTTTCTTTCCTTTTGTTCTCTCTGTGGCGCCGATTCAACAGCTATCTGATCCATTTATCTGGCTCTGCATCGCATTGAAACACGTTGAGATCACAGCTCAAGCAGAAATGTTCTTACTTTAGATTTGTGCACCTGTTGAACTGTTCTGTTTAGATGTAGTAGGAATATTTATATCTGTAGTTTAAATATACACAATCATTTATAAAAACACATGTATTCTGCTCTCCCAGGCGTCCTGGAGTTCTCACCTGTGCTCCTACGATATCTCATGTCAGGTATGGTTTGAGTAGTAGTACTTTTATAATGTAGCTATTGTGTGATGTGAAATAGCAACAGAAAAGTAGTTGTACAGTAGTGGTGATGTGACTGAGTATTAGAGCCCATAGAACCCTCTCCCCATGTATTTTGTGTAGTTGTGTTTATATAATGAGTTCAAATATTTACCTTCTCTTGTTACATTGGATTTGCCTTTTTTATTTAGGCGGCACGGTGGATTGCACTCACGCCTCTAAGCAAGAAGGTCCTGGATTTCAATCCCGGTCGGACCAGGGCCTTTCTGAGTGGAGTTTGCATGTTCTCCCTGTGTCTGCGTAGGTTTCCTCCGGGTACTCCTGTTTCCCCTACCACTAAAAATATGTACATAGGTTTGGCATGCGCCTCCTGTACTGGCCCCGCTCCCATCTCTGTGTGGAGTGAGAGACTGTTAATGCTGATTCAAACCTTGACAAAACCACACAGACAAATATTATTTTCTTACTTGCACCAAGTGAATAGTGACTGAGAAAGGAGGATTTGGATGAAGCAAATCACAGCCTTCTGCTCCGTCTTGGTCACTACTGACTTCTGCTCCCTCGGTTGGGATCTTTATTCAAAGTTAAAATCACACCTCCATACAAGGTAACAATGCCCAAATGCTTCGAGGAAGCCACTCCGTATTTACAAATAAACAATGTGTCTGTGGTATACAGACTTCAAAAGCCCTTGGCAGGGGGCTAAAGTTACTTCCCCTTCCTGGCCCATAATGCCAAATGGTTGGGCTGCCTTATTAAACTCTAGATTAATATTAAGATTCATTAAATTGATAATATAAACATAATTTCTATCACAGAGACAAATGCCCAAAATTAACAATTGTAAACCGCTTTGAGACTCAGATCTGCAGTGAAAAGGCGGTATATAAATAAAGATTACTATAATCTCAGAAAATATTTCTTTACTTTAGTTTCATTGTATTCTAATTAGTCCCTTTGACTGTCCATTACAAAAGCTTTCGTTTGATGAGAAAATGTCAATTACTTTCAAACTGCACCTTAAACTGTGGATGAAAACAGCATGGACACTTTTTAACATGGCTTTCATGTTTCTGTTACCACATGGGGACAAAATGTTCCAAAAAGGACTGTTCCTTTAAAATAAATCGGCCCATATCTCTCTGTACCAGAATGTCGAGTTAGATAATACTGTACATTTGCCTGTGTTCCTCCAAAGAAACCATAAGTGATATACCAGTAATTCAGTTTAACAATGTGGAGAAAAAAGTGATTACTTATGTAATCAAGTGTGTTATGAGAGATCAGGAAATGTTTGAGAGGGGAAAAAAAAAAAACACCCCCATCTTACATTAGATTTTTTGAATGCAGCTGTAATGAACATAATTTGACGTCAGAAATGCTCCGAACTCATTTGGAGACAATGCGACTTCTAGACACGAAGAGACGAAGCACAGCGTGTTCAGATAGAACAGAAAGGGCTGCAGAAAATGACTAATATTATTCAACCAAAGTCGTCTCTGTATAGTGCGGGCAAAATAGTGTTTTGTTAGGAACTAATCGTGATAGCATTATTTTCACCATAAATCATGTATGTGAAGTGTCCTGAGCAGCATACTAGAAGTCTTAATAATTCCAAGGTTGGCAAAACAAATTTGATTTTCTTCAATCCAAGATGTCCCGATACAACAATACAATACAAAGAGGCCTAATGATTTCTTTACTCCAATCACAATGTATTTTTGTAAGTTTCTATGAACATATATTAGAATATGCAAATGAGCTCATTACTAACCAATTATGCCCCTCAATTATGTTGCTCATTTGTATAGTAAAATTAGTATTCAAATCCACTTGCTGTAAATGTTCTTCTTTTGTGTTAAGTTTCATTGTTATTTGAGAACAAATGGATTATCATCTTGAATAGAAGAAAAATGAGACCAGGATTTCTCATGGCTTTTCTCTGGACACCACCTAGAAATGATTAGTGGTGAGAAAAAAAAAAACAAAATCTATTCAATGTATTCGTTCACAAACTAAACACAAACTATTCAATGTATTGGTGAAACTGCAAAAGTCAATTTACGTCTGTAATTAAACTTACAATGTGAAAATAATATATTACAGACTCATCACACTAAGAGTGAGCTACATCAATCCTTCATTAGTTATAATGTAAGTGGCTCGCTGCTAGTTAAAGACCCAAATAAAATATCTCATGAAATTAGATAAATAGGAAAGCCTTGACTGTTTATTATCATTTCGATGATTATGGCGTACAAAGACTTGGCATGTGTCACTCTGTATGTACTGAGTCTCTATCATGCTGTATATCGTTTTCTAATTGTATGTTGAATTACAGTTATACATTCACTTTTGAACTGTATCATAATTTTACAAACTTATATTGGATTCTTTGGCCCAAAATAAAGTAAAAAAGTAGCCTAGGCTATAGTATGTATTAATGAGATAAGATAAAATAATATAGACTTTTTTTATCTCACAATGGTGAAAATTTACACATTTGGCATAAATAGGATTACTCAGGTTGTGCAAAAGACAGGAAATGTAAAAACATGTTAAAAAGTGAAAAAATTATCTTTCGCACAAACATATATGCACTAATGATATTGAAATCTTCAAACATGGTAAGTAATTAGTAAGTAATCTTTATTTATATACCGCCTTTTCACTACACATCGGAGTCTCAAAGCGGTTTACAATTGTGATTTTTGGGAGTGGGGGTCGCCAGTACAGGAGGCACATGCCAGACCTATTGTACATATTTTTAGTGGTAGGGGAAACCAGAGCACCCGGAGGAAACCTACGCAGACACGGGGAGAACATGCAAACTCCACTCAGGCCCTGGTCCAACCGGGATTCAAACCCAGGACCTTCTTGCTGAGAGGCGAGAGTGCTATCCACTCAGCCACCGTGCCGAGTGGATAGTAATGGTCAAGAATTACTATTAGCATTTGAATATTTAGTTTGCCGTTTGCCCGTAGCTCCCCAGAAACCACCTGTAGAGCATTAGCCAGCCTCTTTACCCCCGGCCCCCCAGCCTCTTTACCCCCAGCCCATCTGTTCCTGTGAGTAGAAGTGCCATGTAGTGCCTCTTCCCACTTTGTAAATAAGTTTGCATCCATGCCCTCTCCTTCGGCGCTCCCAGCTCTCCCACTCTCCAGCTTTCGGCACAAGAGGAGGCGCAGGGACGTAGCAGACGATTCTCATCTGTCTAATTCCTCGGATGCTGATTGCGCCGTTTGCCTGATGAGTCACAGTTAACCCAGTCACACAGCTGCAATATAATGTCCTATAATGCGCCACTACATTGCCCAATCTCTCTCACCGACTGCTAATAAAGTGAACCACAACTGTTTTTCTCCTCTGATCCCCTCGCCCCAACAGCTGATGCTGAGGGATTGCATCCACAATACTCTTTTAATTAGTATAGAGAATAAATTGGTTGAGCATGCCTTTTTTTCTTAATTGCTTTTTCCTCAGCTTGCATTTAATTGGGCTCTGTTTATTGATCTACTTTGATGCGCTTTAATTTGGATAATTTTATATATTTAATTTGGATGCCAGGCCCAGAGGGGGATAAACTGGAATTGTGTTGTACAAAAAAAGAAGAAAAAAAAAGTTGGAATTAGTATTGACCAGAACATAAGTAAGCAAGTTATCTTTAGGATTTAGAGTTTGGATCCTTAACTGTCCTGGTGGTAGGTCATAATTTTGCCAGGGTTTTGGCTCGATATGTATTCAGTTTTTCATTAATTAAACTTTTCTTTTAATTGGAAACAAACTTCACTTCACTCTACATATTGCAATAAGCAGGTATCTGAGCTCTTAACACAAATAGGTCACCACCAGGACTGTTGAGGAACCCACCTTTAAAGATGTTTCCATGGTCAGCATTTTCATAGAGAAGACCAAATATTTGCAAGCAATCAATGGAAATTAAACGTTTGTCTTACTATTAGATGTATGTGTTTTTGCGAGACAAATTTGAACACAAGAAGCTCAGCAAAGTAAATCAGATAATTTGGCAAAGACTGCACTAACACAATATCCTGTTGGTTCTTAAGACCTTCGCTAATGTGTTCTTTGGATGCATGTTCCACTGTAGGTGAATCTGGCATTATTTATAAATAAATCACACATTTAATAGCAATGTTAGTACAAAAATAGGTTTTCCAATTGCCCCAAAACTGTTGAGCCTCATAGTCGCAAAAGTTCTGTTAAATAAATGCTTTGTAGATGCGTATGTGTCTCCCGTGGTGATGGCAGGGCTGTGTTGCGGCAGGTTGAGCAGTATTGAGCGGGTGCCTTTCTGTGGCTGATGGCGAGCAGGAGCGGATCAAACCCAGAAGGCAGCTCCTCCGCAGTCTGAGCTCCTCTCTGATCCCACATCCACACCTTGTGAATGCCAATGCGCCGCGTCGGAGCCAGGGAGCCGGCTCTTCTGAAGCAGTGCTAACAGGCCTGCAGGCCACTACATATTCCTTCCAGCAGCTCGCTTGTACTTTGGGCTGATTCATGCTGCGTCATCTCTCCCCCCCTGCCTGCCATAACAAAGCCTAATTTTCAGCCTCCGCCTCCGTCGTTTCATAATTAGTGTGCCTCTCTGCGTGTGTTTGTGGGTTTCTCTGCTACATATGCATGTTTTACATGTGCGAACATTTGTACGGCTCTATTTTCTGTCCCCTCAGTACACCAACATAGCAAGCTTATGTGACTCAATTGCATGTAATCTACAGTATTTATTGATCAATGTACTTTCATAGGATCAGAGTAAATTATTCAAATCGTTATGTTGAGTTCATCAGACACTCACCGAATACACTCAAATTACTCTCTATCAATCACTTTTTAAATGTTCATGTTGTTTTGGTAATTGAAGACTACCACAAACCAGGATTGTTATCATTGTCTATTGAAGCTACTTTTCTTTAAATTAATAGTTAACAATAGCTGTTTTTGAGTGAGTAAACTTCATCGTCAGATCATTCAGGAGCCTGCATCACTGTGCAGCTCATGTGCAAAGCCACGTGTACGACACTGCACCCAGCAGCACTTGCACTTGCACGACCTCCATGTTTTTCAACAGAGAAGCCAATCATATTTTAGGATAACATTGCTGCTTTCTGCGCGTTATGAATGAAATATGCGCCTTACGTTCACTCCGAGCCTCATAAAAATTGTATCCTACTTTCATTATAAAAAGAAAAGTTGAGCATGAATAGAGTTCAGAACAGAGTTGTACTAAATAGTTGCAAGGTTGCGCTGTGATGCATATCAGTCATATTGCCCCTAATATTTAGTCATGGAAATTACATGAATAAGTAGTATTTAGCAGTATTTTAATTTATGTTAATTCTTGTTCCCCAAACTCATTGTATTATGCCCTGTTTATAATGATTTAAAGCTGGGGTACCTAACTTTAAAACCACAAATAAACAAATAAAACACTTTGGTTCTAACACTAGATCACCTTTTTCAGACAAATGTGAACAAGAGAAGACCACCCTCACTCGGCAAATCAGCTCTTATCGCATAGCTCACAAGGCTCTTACATGCCGTTGGGATTTTTTTCAGAATTTTCAAAATCTGAATTATTTTTTTGACATTTTAATTAACAAGAAATCAGACACAAGGAATCTGCTTTGTATGGAACATTTGAAAAACAAAAAAACATATGTACCCCAGCTTTAAAGGGACAAACCACACCACAGCAATAAGTTTTCAAACCAGCCTCTCTCTCACAGGGGGTAACTTCACTCTGGCGGAGCTGGGCGTGTGCGAGCCGCCCCCCTCTCCTCACCCTGCGGCGGTCCCATACTGTCCCGACCTGGGCCTTCTGCAGGGGGGCTATGCTCTCAGTGCTGGCTCTGATGCAGACTCTGACCCTGAGGGGCCCCTGTCTCCGGACCGGGCTATCCAGCTGTGGGCCGGGAGGGGAGGGGTTAAGTCCCGCCGAAGCTCAGGCGTGTCCAGCCGCGAGAACTCCGCCCTCACACTCACCGACTCCGAGAATGAGAACAAGTCTGACGACGAAACAGGTAGGAACTGAGCACAGAACTGGTTGAGATGTTTCCAAAAAGCTGGTGATATACAACAGCGTCCATTCTAGTTTATGTTGTACTACTTTTGATAAAAGCTATGGTGAAATAATGTACTCAATGAGAGCAGTGTAATTTAGGATATTCAGTGGTCGCATCTAAATAGCTTGTTGTTTTCAAGGCAATTACCGTGTAATTAAGGTATATTGAAATAAAAACAGGAGCATTGCAGCAAGATGCTAGAATATTCTTGGGATCTGGAGAACGTTCATTGCAGAGAATTTTTGGCGGTCTTCACCGAAGCATTGCAGGATAAGGGGAGCACAATTTCTGATTTCTTATACCTTTCCCCATTAATGATCTAGATCTAAGGATTCTGTTACTTAACATTAGCTTGTATTTTCTGAACACTACGGATAAGACATTCATGACTCAGAATGATGCATCTACCATGCCCTAAGCTTGGAAAGGTACGCAGGCCTCATTAATTGGAGTTTCATTCCGTGACCCATTAACTGTTAAGTAGATACAGCCTGCATAGATGCCACAGGATTGTTTTTGGTCTTATTACCCTTTCTTGGCTTGACTGTTTGGCCCACATCTGTGAGTGAGGAAATCTTACTGTTTAAGATCAATTTTGTGTTTCAAAATTCCACAAATGGTAGTGACTCGACTTGTAGGGTTGCTGCGTTGTTGAGGCACACTTGTGTTGGCAACCCTTAGCCCACCTGTCTGACAAGCACTGGTATGAACAGTGCTTGAGCTGAATCTATTGAGCGACTCTGTTTTTGATCTGACAAGCAGTGGCTGGACCACCCCCCGAGAGCCATCCTGGTTTCCATCAATAGCACTTAGCAAATGCCCTCCAACACGAGTCTAACAGCCTCACTGGTGAGATTTCAACACTGGTCAGCCAGTCCACAAAATAACGGAATACACTGCATCTTTTTTGCTAAAAAAAGTCAATTACTTGAACAGAGTTTTATTCTGTTCTGTCTTTGTAACAGCGTCTGAGTGTGAGACCCCCTGAGGACATATCTCTGTTTGGCAACTTTGTTTATTACCAACTTCTCATTTCCTTGTTAATCCTGGCCCTAGTCATAAACCTGCGTGGTGCTTGCAGAGGTGTCAATGGAGGTTAATGAAAAGTGGATTGAAGGAAAGTAACAATCTCATTAATTGAATTGTCTGCAGCCGCACATCAGTTGTTGATCAACCTGAGCCGGACTGTGAGTCTTTGGAATACGACAAGTTCTGCGGAGTAATCATACTACTCAACACCTATTAAACACATCAGAAAACACCTCCCACCTCCCGACGTGCCGATAATTGCTCAGTGGTTAATTACCAGCTAATCTCAGTGGCGCCGATATCAGCAGCAGACGAAGCTCCCACTGTCTCAGGGCCAGGAACGCCACCGAGCGCTCCGTCAGACTCATACTCAAACCTTGGCGAATAAGCTTCTTAATCCAGCCCTATATTCTCCTGATCGTGTGCCTGCAGTGTCACAGAGTGTTGATATTGAGGAGATGAAAAGTTTCCATTTATTTTTTTCTTTGCATCCTTTAAATGCAACTTCTGTCCTTGTGTTTCTCTGAGGTTCTCTGGAGACTTAGCCACAGTGGGCATAACAAAGCAGCACAAATGTCACTCAAGCATTTCAGCTAAGTTTACAGCCTTTGGGGTATTTTCTATTTAACTCATTTCTCCACCATGCTTAAAATTGAAGTGAGAATATACAGAAGTTTGCAACTTCTCTCTGCGTCAGAGGTTGAGGTGGACAACTGATGCGCATGGGAAAAAAGGGCAATCATTATTATTACCATTATTAAAAATGACTTAATATATTGTATTGTGCATTCATATCGATTAGGGCTGTTCCAAAAATAGAAAGATTGGAAAATTGCATTCTCAGTTAGTAACTATGAAATTGATTATTATTTGTTTTGTTTTTCTCATCTCAAATGTATAATTAAAAAAAAAAAAAATTATAGAATTATTGACATGTGAATTCAAATTGAGAGACAAGAATCTGGCAATCTTTCTCCTAAACTGTTTTGGGAAAGAGGAAAAAAGCTTTCCATCATTTTTTTTTTATCAAACATGTTTACTCACCTTATGCCTTAGCATGTATGTCTCAAGTTGTATAAAAAGAAACAGAAAATCAAATCAGACTCAGGCCATTTCTAAGGTCCATCACCTTTTTTGCGTTCAGGATTTAAAGCCAAAAGTGTTACTTAAAGTGATAGTCTGTAACTCTAAATGAATTTAAAATTTTAGGAAATGTGTTAAATTGACCTCCTGGCCTTAAATGTTGATATAAAATAAGTCATTTTATTAATTCTAATATTACGGGCAATTCCCTGCTCTTAGCTATAGCTCAGAATCCACGGTGCCGTAGAGGTTAACCAATCGAGTCATGCCAAGGGCTGTCAATCATCGGCGCTGATGCTCGCAGCTGCGCGCATGCTCAGTTGTTTGTTTTCGCGGAGCCTCCGAATCAAGCTTCTAGTAGGCTCTGGAACTACATGAAAACTGAACAAAGAATTCTGAACATCTGCGCTGAGGTACTTATGTATATACTGAACCTATATCCATAATCAGATCCTCTGCAGATGTGTCCTATAATGTGCAATTCATGATAATAGCACTTCCTGGTTTGCCGCGATCGCTTTTTTTGTGCATAAAAACATTATTATTTTAATTAAAACGTTCACAAATAATTCTGAAAACCTCGGTGCATGTGTATTAATAATGTATATGCATAATGTGTTCTCTGATTAACATTAAAAGTGTTACAAAAATGTAGGTGTAGACCAATCAGAAAGGAAGGTGGAGGGAGCTTGCGTCGTTTTTTTCAAATCAAGTACCTCTCTGTCTCTCTTTCTGACAAACTCCAGACAATCACTTTAAATCCAATAACTATCTAATGACTAAGTATCATCACAGTTTCATGAACTGCTGCTGCTTTCAGAAACAAACATACACTTTCATTTATATTTTTTTGTATTAATAAGCCTCAGTTTAAAATGATCACAACATCTCAGTATGTCAGATCAGGCCAATTTGTCACTTGAAATAAATCTTCTTTTGGACACCACACAGTTGACTGTGAAAGCTGTGTGGGCTTTTCAACGGGCTCCACGTGGTTCAACACATGGGCCAATCGCTTGAAGACATGTCACGTCACACCTCAAAGCCCTCTCAGGAATTTCTCACGTTCCGTTAGCTTTACCAGCCACATCGCCCAAAGCCGTGTAGACTCTAGATTTACCCGCCTGTCATAGCTTCCTCAGTACTTTTTCATATATTTTTGTTACCTTGCATGAGCCAAAATGGCAAGCGCACATAGAAGTGTGAAGTTGGAGCCGTGCTATAGTGTCAAAGCAGCAGGAGGCGGATCTGAGCGTCTAATAATAGAGATTGACAGAGGTAGACGCAGAAACAACATCATAAACACACTGCAAATCAAAAAGGAAAAAAGTGACACGCTAAAGTGGCAAACATATCTAACGAGCCTCAGAAGTCTCACCTCCAAATCCTCGCTCCCACCTCCGCCATGTTTTGACTTGCTTTGTCTACCGGTATGTGTTTGTCGTAGCGTTCCTTGTTATGGCCCCGTCAGAGCTCATGTGAATGACAGGTGTCAGTTTGAAAGGGCCAGAGTTCCCCTCCAGGGCGCAGGAGGGAGAGAGAAAGTGTGTCCGCTATCACGCATTACACTACCAAAATAGTAAAAATCAAAAATAAGCAGCCAAGGTATTGACAGCCTTCTCAAACCGGAGGAAGGTTGTTTGTCTGAGACTTTTTCATCATTGTCAACACGCCCAGCAGCACTCGGCTCATGATTGTCAACAAAGAAGAACAAACACACGTGTATATGCGGCTATATGTGTTGGGCCTCGTGGGTCACTTTATGTAGCTCACATTTGTTGTATGGGTGGATGTTATTGTTCATAGTAGTTGCTGTGTTGTAGGCTTTGGGCTCATTGTGGTACACAAAATAGTATAACACGTACATCACAAAGCTATTTATTTGTACCATTTTGAACGCAAAAAATGGGGATAGTTGGGTAGGGAACGGTATCGGGTCGGTACCATGTAAGGCGAGGTGAGTCCAAACCAACTTGATAAAACTCACCACCACACAAAGTATAACACCTTTGCTAGCAACAAAGCTATTTCTTTGTACCGTTTGTATGAGTGGAATATGACAGTGGCTCCTATTGTTGACTGTAAAAAAAAATTGCTAAAATGTAAAATTTTTAAAGCTTTTTCTTATTGTTGCAATGAGAAATGAAACATTTAAAATATCATTTGTATTAGTTTCAGGAATTCCCAGGAATAACACAATGCAGTACTCGTACCGCTATTCGGTATCGGCAAGAACTCAAATTAAGGTACTCATACTTGTATTGGTTTTGAATAAAGTTGTATCGGTGCATCCCAAGTAAAAAAGAAAACAAACAAAAACTATTCAGTGTAAGTCTTGGCTCTAAAACTGTTTGGTTCTATCACTTGGTGGCCTTTACATCAGCTTTTAAAGACAGAAAAGCAATCTAAAGAAAGGACCAGCCTCACTTCCAATCCTAGCCAATCAGCTGGATGTGTCAAATAGTTACTCGCATGGCTCTCTCTTACAAGAATGCAAAATGTGTCATGTTTCTCATAGGATAGAGGTAACCATGTTGTTGTTTGATTTGTTTACAACATTTGACTTTCACAAGACTCTTTCTGTTGGGAAAATATATCATTCATGAGCAGAAAAAAGATGGATAAAGGCTACTGCTAAACTTGATTTTGTTGTTGTTGTAATAACTCACAAACACGTCATCAGTGTAGTAATAGTAATCTTTTTTTATATATCGCCTTTCACAAACCCGAGTCTCAAAGCGGTTTACAATTGTTATTTTTGGGCATTTTGTCCTCTCACTCCACACAGAGATGGGAGCGGGGTCGCCGAACAGGAGGCGCATGCCAGGCCTATTGTACATATTTTT